CTACTACTACTACTACTACTACTACTACTACTACTACTACTACTACTACTATACTATACTACTACTACTACTACTACTACTACTACTACTACTACTACTACTACTACTACTACTACTACGACTACGACTAAGACTACGACTACGACTACGACTACTACTACTACTACTACTACTACTACTACTACTACTACTACTACTACTACTACTACTACTACTACTACTACTACTACTACTACTAATACTACTACTACTACTACTACTACTACTACTACTACAACTAATACTACTACTACTACTACTACTACTACTACTACTACTACTACTACTACTACTACTACTACTACTACTACTACTACTACTACTACTACTACTACTACTACTACTACTACTACTACTACTACTACTACTACTACTCATCCTCCCCCTCCTCCCACTTGAACCATGCTTGCGAACGCCTGAGCGTTTGGCCTCGTTGTTTCAGTGGGCACCGTGGCGCCTGCTGGCTGCCTGCCGGGCCGTGCCCCCGCCGCCGCTGCCGCGGGGCTCTCTCGGCGAGCCACGTCGGCGGGGGCGGCCCTTGAGAGCTGTTCGGCGAGCAGCTGTTGGAGCGCGTCGAAGGTTTCGGCGGCCTTCGTCTCGTGAACTTTGACCCTTTTTTCCCCACATCCAAAGTGGGGTTCTTGTTTTCTCTGGACACCCCGCACTGGAACCAGAACACACACTACTTCATCACCCACTCACTCACTCACTCACTCACTCACTCGCTCACTCGCTCATCATCATCGGTCAGTCACTCTGTCATCACGTCGCCATCACTCTCACACACACACATTTATCACCAGCAACATCACTAGCACCATCACCACATCATCATCAACAGCAATAGCATCATCACTATCACTCACTCACTCACTCACTCACTCACTCACTCACTCACTCACCCAGTCACTCTCTGTCTCTCTCTCTCTCTCTCTCTCTCCCTCACACACCCATTCACTCCCAGTCACTCATTCACTCCTCATCATCGCAATCATAATCGTCATCAGTCACACATTCACTCACACTCACACTCACTCACACACAGACCATCTTGATCACCTTGACCATTACTCGATCACACACCCACTCACACACTCACTCATCATCTGGATCATCCTCATCATCTCTCATGCATGCATTCACTCACTCACCCACTCACCCACTTATTCGCTAGCTTGAATCTGGGGGAAGTATCAGGCGGGAGGCTCGTCTGTGAGTGATTTGCCAGGGAATCTCAGGCGGAAGCCCTCTCCTTGTGGGGCCCGCCCTTCATGTTTTTTAATACGAGCGGGTCATCCTCGAACCTGTAACTGTCGTCACTTCTGGGTTCCTGGAGCCTGAATATGGAGGAAATATCAAGCGGGGGCCTCGTCTGTGAGTGAACTGTGAGGAAGGCTCAGGCGGGAGCCCCCTCCCTGTGGGGCCCGCACCTCATGTTTTAATCCGAACGGGTCATCCTCAACCCTGTAACTGTCGTTACTTTGGGGCTCTCAACGCCCGAGTATGGAAGAAGTATCAGGCGGGAAGCCTCGTCTGTGAGTGAATTGCGAGGAAGTCTGAGGCGGGAGCCCCCTCCCTATGCGCTCTTCAAGAGGCGATTCGCCCGACCCATCAGGTGAGGAGGAAGAGGAGGAACAGGAGGTGCTGACGACGACGGCGGCCAGGCGCAGGGGGAAACCCTTGCGTCTGGGCCAAGGGTGGTAGCCCATCCTCCGTCGAAGCGGGGGCAAGGGGAAACCCTTGTTTCCGGGCTGGCGGTGGTAACCCATCGTCAGCCGAATCGGGGGCAGGGGGAATGCCTTGTCTCTGGGGTGTCGGTGGTAACCCATCGTCAGCCGAATCGGGCGCAAGGGAAACCCTTGCGTCCGGGCCAGGGGTGGTAACCCATCCTCGGCAAATCGGGGGCAGGGGGGAACTCTTGTCTCCAGGCTGGCGGTGGTAACCCATCGTCGGCCGAATCGGGCGCAGGGGGAAACCTTTGCGTCCGAGCTGGCGGTGGTAAGCCATCGTCAGCCGAATCGGGCGCAGAGGGAAACCCTTGCGTCCGGGCAGAGGGTGGTAATCCATCCTCGGCCGACTCGGGCGCAGGGGGAAACCCTTGCGTCCGGGGCGTGGGAGTGATAGCACGTCCGCGCCCGAAGCCAATCCCTAAGTGTTTTGCGTTCTCGTGGGTAAGGTTTCGGGTAAGGGGCCGCTAACGCCAATGTGTGTTTTCTGTTTTTTTTTCGGTTCCGGGGGGCCCGTCCCAGTTTCGGCCCCAGGGGGCGTTTCTCCGTCCTCGCGCTGCCTTCTCCCCCTTTGCGGCCTCGCTGCGTCCAAAAGGGCTACGTCGAGGTATGAACTTCGAGTTTCGAGCTCTCGGGTTCGATACGTTTTTGTTTGCTTTGACTTTTAGGTCTCTGGTCCCCGGACCCTCGAAAATCGGTATGTGAATTCGTTTTGATTGGATATCGCCGACTTTGCGGGGACATGCTCACGTCGAGCTTCAGCTCCCGAGGTTGGAACCTCAGAGATTCCTCGCGGGGCCGGGAGCGGCGGAGGAGGCGGCGGAGGAGCCGGGGAGAAGACGCTCCAAGGGACCAGAAGTGCCGAAGGAATAGAGGGAGAAGAAGGAGGAAGAGGAGGACGAGGAAGAGGAGGACGAGGACGACGAGGACGAGGAAGAGGAAGGCGAGGAGGTAGAGGAGGACGATGAGGAGGAGGAGGAGAAAAAGGACCGAGTACGGAGGACGGAGGACGGAGGTCGGTAGAAGGGGGACGGTGCACGGAGGACGGAGAACGTCGGTCGATGGACCGACGCTCTCCGTCGATTGTCGGCGGTCCATGCTGCCTCCCGCCTGAGCGCGGCCGTGACTAGCTCGGTGCCTGCGGGGTTGTCCCAACGACTTGCTGCCGCGCCCCAGCGGCTCGCGCGGTTGCCCCAACGGCCTGGCCCGCAAGGGTGTCCCAACGGACGCGCGACGCGGCCATTCGAGAATGCGCCCGCGCTGGCCGAGGCGGCGACGGCGTCGAGGAAAATCGACGCGCACGCTCTTGCAACAGACAGGAGAGGAGGTGGTGGGTGACGAAACAAACAGCAGGAGGGCGAGGCAAGGGCAACGCGGGGAACGGGTGAGGGCCCTGCGCCAGGGCGAGAATGAGAATGACGCAGAGAAGACAATAAGGGCGCCTCACTAATCGCGAGGACGACAATGAAGGTTATCTCCAGATTAGCCGAAAGGACTTTCATGCGGGGTCATTCCGTCGGGGTCAATTCCCCGAAAACAACTACATCAGCATGGTGTTATCTCACGCGCGAGCCGTTCGCATCCAGGGCAGAGTGAGAAGAGATCGCGATGCAGATCCGCAACCCCAACTGAGGGGATTCAACTAGTCGATGGCCACTGGGACTCTGATCCAGATGACTTGACAGAACTGGATCGAGCGTGACCTGGGCGGTGTTCTGGCGACACTCGACCTCGGTGGATCCGAAGTGATAGGTGACGCCGTCGAAGCGAGTGGGCTGGGCCTTAGAAGATGCCGTATCGCGCCTCAGCACAAGGACGGCCATCTCTTCCCCTGGATAGGAGGGGGTTCTTAGGCACGAGTACCGCGCAGGCCGGTGGTTGGCCTTGGGTGCAGATTTGGGTAAACAGCCGTTCGATTTCTCGTGGCCGCAGAGGGAGATGCTGCCCGTGTACGCGTCATTGTTTGAGGCGCGAGATGGTAGAGCAACGACTGGGACTGGCCAGTGCGCTGCGCCGAGGCTCCGGATCCGTGGAGAGGCCTCTTCGGTGGCGTCCGGGCGGCGGCCCGAGAGCTTGGAGCTTGGGCTTGTCCATTCGCCGTGGACGCGGATGACACGTGGCTCGGTGGTGCTGGAGGGGGACAGAAGGGGTCAGCAACAGGGTGCAGGATGCGTGCGGGGAGCTGTAATTGGTTCCCGCGCCGAACACGGCAATCGAGGATGTGTGGCCCATGCGTGGCCTGGAGAGACACCATTGCCAGGAGCCTGCGCCCGACCCCCACATTCACCCTCCAGTGGTGGGCTAAGGTGTAGCTGATCTCGTCCCGGTCGCAGGGGCGCTGGAGAGCCCTGCGGAGTTCGGTGTGGTGGTCGGCGTGCTCACGGCAGGTGCGGTCGAGTCTGGAAGGAGCCACCGCGAGGAGCTGGTGCAGACCTGAGAGGCATGGTCAGCACCTGCTTCTTGGAAGGCTGCTACGCAGGCCCCCTTGCTGGCGAGCTTGGACTCGGACCTTGTCAACGCGGCCAGCCATTGCGGAGCAGCCACGGGGTTGGAAGAGCGAGTGAAAGGGAGCCTGTCGGCGGGGAACGGGCTGGGTCCCGCCCAGGCGCGCCAAGAGAGGCCAGGAGGCTGGTCTCCAGTTCTAGGCGCGACACCACACACACACACTGGACCAAACGCTTGAACACAAACACACACACACAGATCTGGAGATAGAGAGTCGACGAAGACAACGTCGACGACGACGACGACGACGACGACGACGACGACGACGACGACGACGCGGGGCGGCCGCCGTCGGGAGGGCCAGTGCGGGAGCGCGCGGCTGCCAGGCGGAGGGCCTCGAGGTGCTCCTCGATGGAGTCGGCGCCGCGGGCCGCGGGGAAGACCCGGTACCGCGCCTCGCACGGCCCGGCCGCCCGACACACCCCTGCTGGGAGGCGCTTCCCCCGGCCGCGGCCGCCTGCGATGCTGCGCTGGAGGCCGACGAACGGGAGGTTGCCTTCGGCTACACGCAGGAGCGACCCTGGGTAAGAGTGACCTTTGGTGCGCGGCTTTTGGGGGTCCCGGGGGGACCAAACACAGGCGCGGAAGGCGCTACTATCGCATCGCGTTCGGCGATCGGGGAACCCCATTGTGCCCGCACCAAAGGTCACTCCGGCGAAAGGTCACTCTTACGTCTAGTCGATGCCTGTCTGACTACCTACCAGACCACCCCAACACAACCCGAAGACCCGAATCTGACCCGAACTTCGGGTTGGGGGGGTACGGGTTCCATGCGTTTTTCCATTGTTCCCCGACCCCCCCCCCCACTGGAAATGGAGGGCAATATGGAAGCCTTCGGGTTGGGTTGGGGTGGTTTGGTGGGAGGTTGCCTGCCTGGAGCTCGAGGCGGCGCTGAGGGCGCTGCCGCGGCCAGAAGTGCCCCTGGCCCAAGGGGCCCCCAGGACTCCCAGGGAGGCCCCCACGGGCTCCAGAGCACCCCATTCACGAGGCCTGGGGGGCCCAGGGGCTCCACAGTTGGGCCAGGGGGCACCTTTAGCAACCCCAGCGAGGGCCCCGCCCCCCGCTTCTCTCTCTCTCCCTTTTCTTTGTTGCCTCCTGTTTCCGCCCGTGCATGCTTCCTTGTTTGTCCACTCACCGCAGCCGCTGGCACGAAACCAGTATTTTCTGAACGGGTGCCCATGCGCTGAGAAAACAACGAGTGTTCTGACTTTTGCTGCGTTGCCTTGAGATTGTCTATTCATCTTGGTTCTCTCTCTCTCTCTCTCTCTGTCTCTCGGCCTCAGGGTTCGTCGCGCGCGGCCGTTCCCCCCAGCCCCCCCCTCCGGGCCGGCCGCCCTGGATGGGGCGGGGGGCGGTGATCAAGCTAGAGAGCGAGGTGACTCCACCTGCCACCCCCTCCCTCCTCCCTCCTCCTCCCTCCTCCCTCCTCCTTCCTCCTCCCTCCCCCTCCTCCTTCTCCTCCTCCTCCTTCTCCTCCTCGTCCTGCCACAGGCCTGGACCGGATGCTGCCAGAGGCAGTCCTGGCCCAAGGTGTCCCCAGCCCTGCGCGCCGCTTTGGAGCCCCACGGGGACCTCTGGTCCCTGAGGAGGAGGAGGAGGAGGAGGACGAGGAGGCGGAGGAGGAGGAGGAGGAGGAGGAGCTCTGGCAACACCCCACCGGTTGCTCAGAAGGAGAGTGGCACCACATTCTGGTGCGAGGGACGTTTCGCGCTCCCCGCCGGAGCGCTCGTCTGCCACGTGTGCATGTGCGGCGGAGTGCACGCAGCGAAATGGCTCTGAGCTCGCTGAGAGCAAAAATTATCCTAGCGAAGGGCCCAACCATATGCAAGTGCGAGTGCCGCCGGGCAGGCGGGACGCAGCAGGGGAAATTCCCGATGGGGCCACGAAACGTGTGAGGGGTGTGCCGAAGTGGGGCGGCGCCGCCATGCGAACTGCGCCATTGGGACCGTAGGTTGAGCTCCCTGTGGGGCCACGAAACGTGTGAGGGGTGTGTGCCAAAGTGTGGCGGCGCCGCCATGCGAACTGCGCCACTGGGGCCTTAGGTGGAGCTTCCTATGGGGCCACGAAACGTGTGAGGAGTGTGCCAAAGTGGGGCGGCGCCGCCATGCGAACTGCGCCACTGGGGCCTTAGGTGGAGCTCCCTATGGGGCCACGAAACGTGTGAGGGGTGTGCCAAAGTGGGGCGGCGCCGCGATGCGAACTGCGCCACTGGGACCGTAGGTTGAGCTCCCTGTGGGGCCACGAAACGTGTGAGGGGTGTGTGCCAAAGTGGGGCGGCGCCGCCATGCGAACTGCGCCACTGGGGCCTTAGGTGGAGCTCCCTATGGGGCCACGAAACGTGTGAGGGGTGTGTCATGATGATGACGATGGGAGGGGGGAGGAAGGAGGGGGAGGAGGAGGAGAGGAGGGACGCGGGCCAACGTCTCTTCAAAACGAGGACCCAACACCACCACATTCTGGTGCGAGGGACGTTTCGCGCTCCCCGCCGGAGCGCTCGTCTGCCACGTGTGCATGTGCGGCGGAGTGCACGCAGCGAAATGGCTCTGAGCTCGCTGAGAGCAAAAATTATCCTAGCGAAGGGCCCAACCATATGCAAGTGCGAGTGCCGCCGGGCAGGCGGGACGCAGCAGGGGAAATTCCCGATGGGGCCACGAAACGTGTGAGGGGTGTGCCGAAGTGGGGCGGCGCCGCCATGCGAACTGCGCCATTGGGACCGTAGGTTGAGCTCCCTGTGGGGCCACGAAACGTGTGAGGGGTGTGTGCCAAAGTGTGGCGGCGCCGCCATGCGAACTGCGCCACTGGGGCCTTAGGTGGAGCTTCCTATGGGGCCACGAAACGTGTGAGGAGTGTGCCAAAGTGGGGCGGCGCCGCCATGCGAACTGCGCCACTGGGGCCTTAGGTGGAGCTCCCTATGGGGCCACGAAACGTGTGAGGGGTGTGCCAAAGTGGGGCGGCGCCGCGATGCGAACTGCGCCACTGGGACCGTAGGTTGAGCTCCCTGTGGGGCCACGAAACGTGTGAGGGGTGTGTGCCAAAGTGGGGCGGCGCCGCCATGCGAACTGCGCCACTGGGGCCTTAGGTGGAGCTCCCTATGGGGCCACGAAACGTGTGAGGGGTGTGTCATGATGATGACGATGGGAGGGGGGAGGAAGGAGGGGGAGGAGGAGGAGAGGAGGGACCATCTGGAACAGAAACCAAACACAAATGGTCCTCTTCAAAACAGAGGACAGACACACCACAGGATGGTTGGGAAGAAAAATCCCGACCGGTTTTGGCTTTTCCGTGGGCACCTTTTGATTCGTGTGAATTCATCCCCCTCGGAACAGCCTGATTGACCGACTTTCCAGTGACCAAAGTTCCCCTCACCATCAAGCCTCCCTCCAGACACTTGCCCGCGTCTTGGAGCGGGCGAGGGCATTGTCACGGAAGGGGCTGGTTCGCCAGGGGTCAGTTGGGTAGCAGCCCATGAACGCCTGTGCCCCTCCGCGCGCGAGGAGGGGCTCGGCCTGACCATCATGGCGTCCTTCGGCGGCATCTGGCGGCTTCTTGCTCGACCCCGCACCTTAGCCAGGGCCTCCTCCTCCTCCTCCTCCTCCTCCTCCTCGCTCCTCCTCCTCCTCCTCCCCTGACCCGCGCCTCCTCCTCCTCCTCCCCTCCTCCTCCTCTCTCCTTCCTCCTCCATCTCCTCCTCCTCCGCCTGCCTCCCCCATGCCTCCTCCTCCTCCTCCTCCTCACTCCTCCTCCTCCTCCTCACTCCTCCTCCTCCTCCTCCTCCTCCTCCTTCCTCCTCCTCCTCTCCTCCTCCTCCTCCTCCTCCTCCTCCTCCCTCCTCCTCCTCCTCCTCCGTCCTCCTCTCCTCCTCCTCCCCCCCCCCTCCCCCTCCTCCTCCTCACTCGCGGGAGGCCGCCGCAGGAGCGGGCCCACGGCCACACCGAGCCGGACCAGGCCCAGGGGGGAAGCAGGACTGAACTGGCCCTTGGCATGGCGAGGCTGAAGACCAGGGGGGGCGAGGCGGGATTTGACGAAGGGATATACGTCAGGTTCGTGTCGTGCCGACTTTGGCGCTGGTTTCTGACACCGCGGGGATCGTTCAACCTTGAACGATCGGCTGTTTCCGAAACGTCCAAATCGTTCCACATCGAACGATTCTGGGACGCCCGCGGCGTTAGAAGTTGAACGCCGCTGGCGGGGTCGCCGCCGGTCGACATGACACGAACCTACCGTACCAGCCCCGATGCTCATGTTGCCACCTCCCAGCAAATCACTTCGAGCTCCCAGAAAGGTGCCGAAGCGGCGTCGAAGCAGCGTCGAAACGGTGTCGGACAAGTGTCTCCCAGGGCCCGACGCGTGAAAACCATCGAGTTTCGGTTTGAACTATTTTTCGTGATCAAGGCTAAAAAGGTTGGAACATCATAACCCGATGCTGAATTCAACCTCCCGGGGTTATGACCCGACAGCCCTCTTCCTCATGGATGCCTCCCCCCCGTGGCGCCACCAGGCGCGTCGGCACACAGGGCGGGTTGACTGCAGCGTGACGTTGGCAGGACAGCTACTGCGCGTACAGACAAGCTCGGCGACCTTGACCATTGTCGGGGGCGCGGCAGTGGTTCTTGCTTCACCGATTTGCCAGTGCCCCTTTGACGTGCGCGGTTTCTCTCTCTCTCTCTCTCTCTCTCCCTCTTTTCGCGTGCTGCCACCTCTTTCGCTCGAGCGGCAACCCGAGCACCTCACTCCGTCCTGGTGCCATTCGCCAGGCGTTGCTCAGGCCCCCGTGATGAGCCGCAGGTGCTTCCCGCCTCCCTATGCGTGGCGTCGTCCCACGCAGTTCCCCTCTCGCGCGAAGGCTACTGCCCAGACCCCAATCCGCTCAGCGCCCCAACCGGCCCGCCCACACGCCCCCTTCGGTGGCAACTCGTGGGAGCCTCCCACGCCGTCTTGCTGGCCCTTGCGAGCCGACTCTGACCGACGCCAGTCGACGCCAACCGAGGCGACTCGCCGCTGCACCGACGCCAATCGACCCTCTACACGGGCGCTCTCGCATTGCCTGCCAGACGCAGGCGCACGCCGATGCGCTCGAGAAACGGAGCTGCGAGGACGCACAAGGCTCCCATGGTTTGCTTCTCCGGACTGCACAGGGAAAGGGCGGTGAGGAGCAAGGAGCAGGTCCTAACAGCAAAGCTGGCCCGCTAGGGGCAGGACCCGGGGGGTGAGCTCAGTGGTCGAACTTGGCCTCCGCAGCCCAAGCGACAAAATCCTGCTGGTGTTGGCGTCAGTGCTCACCGGCTGCCAACGCACGCCAATCGCCCAAGCCATAATCAATGCTAAACTTATTGATACAATCTTCGAACCGCGTCCACCTTCGCGAAGACGGCCTCGTGGTCCGATTTGGGGGGTCTGATTTGAACCGCCCCGGAGGGCTCCAGTGGGGTCTGGGCAAAAGGCCGCCCTTTCATGGCTGGTCAGGGGAGGGTCTAAAGGTGGTCGTCCGGGAGGGGTGTGGCCCCCTGCCATTTAATACAAAATCCGCCGACCCATTGTGGGTTTGTAGGCGTGTGAGATTATCCCCCCTCATAATCCCCCTTCAGGGCCTCAAAACCAAAAATTTGACCCCCCCTGCAGGCCGCTTACGACCCCCAGCCAGACTCACTAGGGGCGGGGTCCAGCCCTCCACAAGCAGGTCCGCCTCTCCCCAGGGCTCTCTTGCTGCCCCAAAATATGACTCCCGAAAGCTCCAGGACGGCTTCGAAAACCTCCTCACACCCAAGAGGCGCCCAAGAAGCCCCCAAGAGGCCCCCAAGACACTTCATGAGAGGGTCCCAAGCCAAGAGGCCAAAATCGTCAAACTCTCTTGAAAAACGTACATTTGTTGCATCTACGACTTTGCCGTTTTCCGACGCTCCAAGACGGCCCAAGAGACGCCCCAAGACGGCCCACGAAGGTCCAATCGCCCAAGGGGCCTCCAAGATGGCATCAGGACTGCCCTAGATGCCCCCACGACGGCCCCGAGAGGGCACCAAGAGGGCCCAAGAGGCCTCCAAGACGCCCAAGATGGCCTACAAGACGGCCCCAGAGCACCCCAAGAGAGCCCCAAGTCGGCTTCCCACGAAGACGGCCCAAGATGGCTCTAAGAGGGCCTCCAGGAAGGCCCGAAGAGGCCAAAATCATTGATTTTCCTTAGTTTTTGGCTGGATTGTGGCATTTGCTTCTTTTCGGCCGGGCCGCGACGGCCCAAGAGTCCCCAAAGATCGCCCCAAGATCGCCCAAGAGGCCTGCAAGATGGCCCCAGAACGGCCCAAGACGCCCCCAAAACGGCCCCAAGAGGGCCCTGGAGCATTCCAAGAGGGCCCCAAGTCGGCCCAGAGAGGCCCCCAAGACGGCTTCCGACAGCGTCAGACGGGCCAGGAGCCCACCAAGACGGCCCAAGATGGAAGATGGCCCAAGACGGCCCAAGAGGCCTCCCAGAGGGCTCAAGGAAGGCCCGAAAATGCCAAAATCATTCATTTCCCATAGGTTGTTTAAAGAGTTTGGCGTTTGGTTCTTTTCGGCCTGCCGATGGCCCGAGACGGCCCGAGAGCCCCCCAAAATCGCCCCAAGATCGCCCAAGAGGCACCCAAGATGGCCACAGGACTGCCCAAGAGGCCCCCACGACGGCCCAAGAGGCTTCCAAGACGCCCAAGATGGACTACAAGACGGCCCTGGAGCACCCCAAGAGGGCCCCAAGTCGGCCCAGAGAGGCCCCCAAGACGGCTTCCGACGGCGTCAGACGGGCCAGGACTCCACCAAGACGGCTAAAGAGGCCCCGAGAAGCCCCCAAAGCAGGCCTAAGGAGGCCTCCAAGATGCCTCCAAGAGGCTCCCAGGAAGCTCCCAGGAGGCCCCCTCCTCCTCCTCTCCCCTCCTCCCCCCTCCTCCTCCTTCCTCCTCCACCTCCTCCTCCTCCTCCTCCTCCTCCTCCTCCTCCTCCTCCTCCTCCTCCTCCTCCTCCTCCTCCTCCTGATCTTCTCCGCCGTCCTCCCCCCCCATCATCCCCCAAGTGTTCCCCGAAGGGTTTCCACAACGGTGGGGGAAACACATGGTACGATAGCTTGGCGGAGCTCCTGCCACAACGCTCGGCCACGCGGGCGATTCCAGCAGGCCAGGGGCGGCTGTGATTCGCCGCAGGTGTCTTCGAGATGGGCCACCAAGCGGGTGCCCCGCCATTCTCCGCTCCCGCGGGCTCCCACGAGTCACCCTCGAAATCGCCCTTCAGCCTCCTCTGCGCCCTCACGTCTTCCCTGCTTCCCCCTCGCTCCCGCACCTTCTCCTCCTGACTGCCCCTGCCATTCTCCGTGCCCGCGGGCTCCCGCGGGTCACCTCTCCAGCTCACCCTTCCTCCTCCTCCTCCTCCTCCTCCTCCTCCTCTCCCCCACGTCACCCCTCCTTTCCCTGTTTCCACCCTCCTCCTCCTCCGCCTCCTCCTCCTCCTCCTCCTCCTCCTCCTCCTCCTCCTCCTCCTCCTCCTCCTCCTCCTCCTCCTCCTCCTCCTCCTCTCCTCCCTCCTCTCCTCCTCCTCCTCCTCCTCCTCCTCCTCACTGCCCCTGTCCTTTCTGCCCCCCACCACTCCTTGACTAAAACTTGCCCGGATGCATGGCCACCGCGATCGCCGCGGCAACCTCCCAAACCGACCCAGCGGTTCGGCTCGGGATCGGAGATCACGCAACGACAGACCTCCAACGTGTTGGCAGAAAACAGAACCGGTGCTTTCTCTTCGGAGGCCATCGCTGCGCCCAGGGGCCGTCCAACGACGACTCGGGACGGTTAGCCAGCGCTGGAGACGGGTCCGGGACTTCGGGGGGCCAGGCACTGGCAATCACCCGGGCATCGGATGTCTCGGACTGGCCATCGCTCGGACGTCCACTCCCTGGGCTCTTTTTTCGGTTTCGTGCGTGGCTTTTTTTCGCCGAATGATCAAAGATGCTCCTCGATGGTCCTCGCCGAAGGAAGCATGCACACGTCCGAGCGATGCCAAGCGGAGTGAAGAACGGCGGGGCCTTCCTGGCCACAGCGAGCCACAGAAAGGCGCGGCCCGCATGAGCAGAGCGCCCCTTTCTGAGCAGAGAGTAGTCCTGCATTTCAGGGCCTCGACGGCACATGCATGCGAAGCGATGCATCTAAGACGAGGCCAGGACAAGGATGAAATCGGGCAAGAATAAATCCGCCGACCCCCTGCGGGTCTCTAGGCGTGCGAGACTGCTTGCCCCCCACTGTTTCCCCAAACGACCCCTCATGGGCGGATCGAGGGATCCCCGGCGACCCAAGAGGGCCCCAAGACGCACCCAAGACGGACCACGAAGGCCCCGAGTCGCTGCAAGATCGTTCCAAGACGTCAAGACGGCCTCCAGGCGGCCCAAGAGGCCCAGTAAGACACCTCAAAACCTACCCTTTCGCTTTCATCTACACCACCATCACCCTGGACGCCCCCAAACACCGTAGGAAACGGTCTGCACCAAAGGGGTCGGCGGAGGTGGCGTAAGCCTATTGAGATTGGAATACCGAACGACCCCCCCCCGCCCCCAACCGACGCCGCCGACAGGCCGCCAGACTGCGACAGGTTGCCCGTCAGGATCCGCAAGACCTCCCCGCCGCCGCCGGCCGGGGTGCGCCGCCGCCGCCGCCGCCGCGGGGAGGGCGCACTCATATGGCAGGACGCGTTTGCCTCAGTTTCGGCTGTTGCCCCTCCTCCCTCCTCCCTCCTCCCTCCTCCCTCCTCCCTCCTCCCCCCTCCCTCCTCCCTCCTCCTTCCTCCCTCCTCCCTCCTCCCTCCTCCCTCCTGGAAGTGCCCCTGGCCCAAGGTGCCCCCGGGATTTCCAAGGAGGCCCCCACGGCTTCAAGAGCACCCCTCGCGGGGCCCAGAGGGCCATAGGGGCTTCAGAATAGAGCGAAAAGCTCGGGGCGCCTTGGGACAGGGGCACCTTGAAGCAACCCCCGACAGTTCGGCGACAAAAAACAACGGGTCTTACGCGGGATGGCATAGCGACCTTCGGGAACGCGCTGACCCAGGCCAATGCAAACCAGGGTCAGTCAGGCCTTGCAAGATCCTGCAAGATCCTGCAGGATCCTGCAGGATCCCCGTCTTTTGAGCCCCGACGGAGGAAGAGGCCGGGCCGGGCCAGGCTGGACGATGGAGATCTGTGGCCGCACGGTACTCCCGAGACCTTACGCGGCGGCGTAGGCCGGCCGCCCGCGCGGCACGCCACACTGGAAGCTAGGGTGCTGTTACGCGCGGCGACCTCATGCGAGCAGCGTATACGCGCACAGGTCGGCGCAGTCGACCCCGCGTTTGTGCAATGCTCAGTTGGCTCTTCCCCTCCCCTGAGACTCAACCACGACAAAAGATGCCTGACTCATAGAGGCCTCCTAGATGTGGTCCGAGTAGATGGGGTCGGAGAATCTCGCCGCATCGCCGATGCATCAGCGATGCACTGGCGACGTCGGCGATGCATCGACGTCGTCAGCGTGGAGAAAAGTGGGCCCCACATCGAGCCGCATCGACGATGCATCGCCGATGCATCGGCGATGCGGCACGATCCTCCGACCCCATCTACTCCGACCCCATCTAGGAGGCCTCGAACTCAAGATGGCTAAAAGGGGGACAGCAAGCGGAGGATAGACGAATCGGCTCCCGTCGATGACTTCTTCGGTGCACCAGCCTATCGAGAGAAAAGCGCCCGGCGGCGGGGCCGAAAGCAGCTGCATGCAGCAGATCGTCCCCCCCCCCCTCCCCCAGTTCCCAAACATCCGAAGATGTGATCTCTTCAATCCGCAGCCCCAGAGCTCTGGACGCTGTACCCTGGGGCAGTTCTGCGCCCGTGATCCGTTCGCGACAATGAGGGGCCATGATAGGGGGGACGGGCGGAGGGGGGGATGCACCGACCTGGAATCGGCGATACATCGTCGATAGCGCATACGCAGCTTCCTGGGCGGGTTGGGGCTATCGGGCGATCCATGAGCGATTGGGGGTCGAAGCATCCCCCCTGTGCCCTATGCCTACGTATCCCACCCATACCGTTGCTCCCGTGACAGTGCTGGGGCCCGATGACGGGCGCCAGGTGCCGAAGCCAAGGACAACCGCCAGGATTGAAACACCACATATCTAGAAGAAGAAAAAGCAATAAACAGAAACTTTTGGCGCTCCGCGCGGATTTCTTGGTTCCGGGCTCGGCCCCCCCCCCAGCAGCGCCTCCGGCGCCGCCCCTGGCGCGCTCCGCGCGCCGGGGAAGGGGGCCCAGCGCAGACCCCAGAAATCGCGCGGAGCGCCCAAACGGAGCGCCCACACAAATATGTCTGTAGCGTTTCTCTTCTTCGAATACCGGCGGAGATCTGGGGATCCCCGCCCCCGACGCCCAGCCCAACAGGGAGCCCATCAGAGAGCGGAGGACGGGCCCAACGTTGCGCCTCGGGGACGGCAGCAGCGGAGCGGCAGAGCCCCGTACCCGGGCACAGCACCTCTCCCACTTCCCGCCCGCACTCGGTGCTGGCGGGGAGGCGCGAGCGGAGAGCTTCACTGGCGCCAGCGGAACGTGTGCGACCCTTCTGAGTGGTGCTGTCGACGCCTGAGGCTGGGACCCTGACGCGCTGACGGCGAGGGGCAGATTGCCAGTCGGACGAAGTCGGGGATCTACCGACCCAGGTCAATCCACACCTGCAGCATCCTGCAAAGCAGTGCTCCCCAACCCGGGTCAATGCACCCCTGACTCTGCAGGGTCCTGCAAGATCCGGCGCTCTGAGACTGACCCCGCTTGCACTGACCCCCGCCTCTTTTGGTGGTCCCCAAACGTGGTGGTGAGAACACCCGGTGGTGAGTTTTGAGCGATTTGGGTAATGGTTTTCGAGCGCTGGCTGGCCCAGGAAACGCAAAACCTCGTGGCGACCGCGTGTCCCCAAACCCGGTGGTGACCCAGAATTATTTTTTGGGGGAATCGGGGTCACCACCGGGTGTCTCACCACCTGGTTTGGAGACCACCAACTCTTGAGCCCCGACGGAGGAAGAGGCCGGGCCCGGCCGGGCTGGGCGATGGACATATGTGGCCGCAACGTGCGCCCCGCCACCAGGGGGGCGTGTCCCCGACGAGAGGCCGCCAAGAGGGACCTTCAGCCTCCCCAAGGGCTCCCAACGTTGCGCTGCGCGAGGCGCGAAGCGCGGACGGCTCCGCGCTCTCGCGCCGCCCCCCAGGGAAGACGAGGACGATGAGGAGGAATCGGAGCCAGTTGCGAAGCACGAAGCGCGAATAACTTCGCGCCCTCGAGGGCGCCCTTGCCCCGGCGCCGCGAGGAGAATCACGACGAGCGGATCTTGGTGCCGCTTTCGGCCTCTGGGGAGGCCCCAACGCCTGGCCCCGGGGCCGTCAAGGCAGCGGCCCAGGGCGAGAGGCTGGCTCCCAGAAGGGGCCCAGGCCTCTGGAGTGCCAGGTGGTAAGAGAAGACCACGACGTCGGATGCCTGGGATGCAACGTACCATCTTGGTACTCCCTCCTCCTCCTCCTCCTCCTCCTCCTCCTCCTCCTCCTCCTCCTCCTCCTCCTCCTCCTCCTCCTCCTCCTCCTCCTCCCACTCCAACGCGGTAGAAGTGAGGTGCGCAGTCTTTCGGCTCCGAGGCCGAAGAAGGCGCAGCTTGCCACTCCTGGGCCGAGGACCGGCAGTCACGTCGAGAAGAGATCACGGCGTCGGTCGTCTGGGAGCCAGCGCTGCCGATGCCGCCCGGGCGAGGCAGCGGAGCCCACCGCAGCTGCCTCTGCGCGGCTGGACTGAGGGGGAGGTTCGGCGAGTCCGAAGCGTGTGGTTTGCAGAGGGTGCGGTTGGCGACCCGCAGTCCCTCGCCTTGGGGGGGGGGGGGGCTTTTTTCTTGGGAGGCATGTCGGTCTCACGAGACGCATGGCAGGGCATAGCAGCGCATGGTCATCCTGCAGAGAATCGGGGGATCTACTGACCCGGGCCAATCCAAACCTCGGGACAGTCAGGCCTTGCGGGATCCTGCAAGATGATCATGCACCCTAACCAGGGTCAGTGCGCCCCTGGCTCTGCAGGGCCCTGCAAGATCCGGCGCTCTGACTGACCCCCGTCTCTTGAGCCCCGAAGGGAGGCCGCTTAAGCCCCCTCTGGCCTGCGAACCGCAGCCCCTGACCCAGGCCGAAGGGAAAACAAGCCTCTGACGGCCGCGCCCAGAAACTCGAGGACCTCGACAGAGCTCTCCGCCACACCCCGACGAGGGCTCATCACGCCTTCGGCGCAGCGCGGTGCCCACCCACCCCCTGGTGGGAGAGGAGGGGCGGGCCGGGGTGGCGGAAATCGGCGGCGTGCTGCCCCCGTGGCGGGCAGGCCAGGGGCAGCAGGTGGGCACGGGCAGGAAGGCGGAGCCCTGAGATCCCATCGTAGCACATCTTTTTCGCAGCGGACGTCTTCGCCCGGGTCTCGGGTCGATGATCCTCAGGACGTGCGCTGGCGCCAACGCGTACTTGTCCACCAGGGCCCTTCCATGCGACGCGGCCGGCACGCCGAGGGCCGATGCAGGCTGCGTGCTCTCGGCGGACCCGGCCGAGGTAAACGTACGCCTGGGCTAACACACGTCCTGAGTGAAGGGGCCCCAGGACACACAAGTGAATACACACAAACAAAAAGATTCCCCATATTTTCGGGGTTTCTGTCTTCCCCCCACTTCCCATATTTTACCATATTTTCCTGGGGGTCGATGATTGATTGTGTCTGTGTTTTTCCCCTCCTGACTGAGGATCATCGATCGGGCCCCGGGACCCTCACTGATGTCGCCCTGGTTCGAAAAAGATGGCGCAGAGCGACAGGGCCTGGGGCCCCAACGGCGCAGATCGCAAGCCACAGCCCGGCGCAAACAGGAGGAGGAGGAGGAGGAGGAGGAGGAGGAGGAGAATGCGGAGGAGAATGCGGAGGAGGAGGAGGAGGAGGAGCAAGAAGCATCCGCTGCAATCGTCGAAAAAGCAGAGGCCCTGACCGTGCTGCTCTGCTTGCAGCTCGGCCGGTCGCCCGCCAGCGGCTGGCCCACGTACGCCAGCGTCAACACGCGGACCTGGGCTGGGGCAGGTATGTCGGTGGGCTGGGCGAGCGACGTCCTCCTGGTCATACCCCTGTTCCTCCTGCTCCTCCTCCTCCTCCTCCTCCTCATCCTCCTCATCCTCCTCCTCCTCCTCCTCCTCCTCCTCCTCCTGATCCTCCTGTTCCTCCTGCTCCTCCTGCTCCTGCTCCTCCTCCTGCTCCTGCTCCTGCTCCTGGTCCTCCTGCTCCTCCTCCTCTTCCTCCTCCTCATCCTACTACTCCTCCTCCTTTTATCTTCCTCATGCTGCTGCTGTTGCTGCAGGAACAGACACACAGACACCTAGACACACAGATGAACAGATACACAGACACACACACACACACACATACAGACACACACACACACACACGCACGCAAGCACGCACGCACGCACGCACGCACGCACGCACGCACGCACGCACACACACACACACACACACACACAC